ATTTCTTCGAAATTTAACAAGCTAAGCACCTAAAACAATTATTTGTTTGCTCGACATTAGCAAAGGTATGTCTCAGTTAAAACTTTTACTTACTGTATTTTTCAGCCTATAAGTCGCAGGTTTTTTTTTTTTTTTGGATAATTTGCATGCCCTGCAACTTATAGGATGAAGTGACATATTTATGGATTTTCCCCATTTTTATAAACCATTTTTTGACTGAGATATGACTGTTGCCATTCATTTTGACTGGGGGAAAAAAAAAGAGCAGTACCACTTTTAGCCACTTGATGGCAGCAGTGTAGTAATCGCTGTATGGCATGCTGTTGTATCATGTAATAGGTAAACGTGACTATAATGACACATTCAAAAAAGTTCAAGACAAAATCAACTGGACTTTATTTATTATACTTTATACTTTGTTACTATGTCCTGGACGACTGAGAATCTTCACCAGTTATTAATGACTCAATCGGCCTGCCGTAACCTCCCCACCTTCATTCTGCTCGCTGCTTGGAACCATCAAAACAGCTGTACCACCCCGGCAAAATGCAGCTAATTTGACCATTAAAGTTCATTCATTAAGCAAATGTTAGACTGAGACACACCTTTGCTATGGATGGATGGATGGATGAATGATTATCTTGTTAAATTTTAAAGAAATGCTGCGGCTGGTCAAGCTGCGCATGCCCGCTTCGCAGCACCTCCGCAACAAAACTGTTTTTGAAATTTATCTGATTTGACCCTCAAAGTGCATTTATTAAGCAAACATTGGACTGAGACACACATTTACTATAATTTCGAGCAAACAAATAATTGTTTTTAAGTGTTAATCATTAAATTCTTGTTAAAGTCCTCCCGTGCACGCTCCCGCGGCGACCATTTGGCAGCCCATCAGGTTTTTGGCACAACACCGGCCTACATTTCCATGTTGTCAGTGGTGACGAGTAACAAACGCGACGCGTCAGCGGTGACACATAATAGATGCGACGTATACGGCGAAGCGACATATTTATGGATTTTTCCACTTTATTAGACAAATATGGACTGATGCGACTTATATGGCGGAGCGACGTGTATGGTAATAAATACACTTCAGTGGTCAAATCAGCTGCATTTTGCCAGGGCGGTGCAGCAAAATAAAGTTGATTTCAAAGTTGCTACAGGCACGCTGGATGAAGGTGGCAGTCTGTGGCAAGCCGATTGTATCATTAATAGCCACTTTTACCTATTACATGATACAATGGCATGCCTTACTTCTTCGACCGCCATCTAGCGGCTGAAAGTGGTAGTATTCAATATTTTCAGTCAGAATTAATGAAAACTGTCATATCTCAGCCAAAAATTGGTTTATAAATATGGGAAAAAAGCCATAAATAAGTCGCTTCGGCGTATAAGTCGCAGTATATGCAAATTATGCAAAAAAAACGGAACTTATAGGGCAAAAAATACAGTACGCATTCACATACATACGCGCGCACACACACACACATATTATAAGGGATGTATCCATGTCTAACTGTGTGTTCACCCTCTGATTAACGCAGCCCTCCTGTTTCATTTGGTAAGTCACATATATAACTGTTAACCCCCCCACACTCTCTTCTAACAACACACCATGCAACCACACACTCCACACACATTCTTACAGGCATGTGAAGTGAAGACCTGCAGAGCATATTCCCTTGTCACACCTCCATCGTCAGTCTTTACTCCCCGCAGTGGTCTATTCTCTAGCATGTAGAGTTCAGTTTAAAGTTTTAAGGTGTGCTTGAGTGTGTGTAAATGTGACCGTAGATCTGATGAGGACGAATGATTAGGTGTTTCTGGTCCTGTCCGTCCCACTCTCACGTCACAGACACGCATGCATTGGCCCTACACGCATGCACTGTCGCCTCACTCAAGTCTTTCAGCGATTGCACGCAAGCGAATACCAGTCTCTTGTTTCTGTGTCACCCCTTGCAATACGACAAAAGCCATGGAGTTGTGTTGGCATATTGTTGCATAAAGTCAACACAAACTGAGTTAGAAAGTGTGCTTACGTTGGTGTTGTAACTTCTTTGTAATGTAGAAAATATTGTCTGTGTCAGTGGTAGACAAACCTGGCCTCAAGCTGAACTCCAGGTTGAGGACAGAATTTACTGACTGTGACTTTAAAATAACAGCATATTCTGTTTTTCTCTTGCTTTGCCACCATCCCTCTGCTTCCCCCTCCCTCTTTCCTCCTCTCATTTCTTTCCTCTTGCAGAGTGGAGACTTGGAGTGCCACTGGTAGCTGTCCAGCACAACGGCGTCATTCGAAAAACAAACGAACAGGACCACTATTCTTCACGAGATCGCATCCGTATTTGTCTTTTAATTTCACGTGAGAATAATCTAAACAGGAATTCTTATTTTGAAAGTGCACCCAGTGTGGAGGACTGCAAACAGATTTTATTTAAATTCACAAACGAGGGAATTAAAAAAAAAAAAACTGCACTACGGAACTATATATACAGTACAAAAGTCAAAGGAGGGGCACATGAGCAGTTTGTCTTTCCTTTTTTTATTGCTTTGTTTGTCATGTTGTTTTTTTTTTAATGATTGACAGACATGGAAACATGTTTGGAAAGCTTTGGGACTCCATGGTGCCTTGCACATACCTGAGAGAGAACAGAGGATCTCACACCTCAACAACCAGCCAGCCACTCACAGATGTTTCTAAGAGACTGAAATGGCTTGCGGCATTATTTGTTTTAAGCGTTATTTTATTATTTTTGCACCTGACTGAGAGCTTATTTACCACACAAGTCTGCAAATACATAAGCTACGTCTTCGGGTTGAGGTGCGGGGGATTCTCATGCTTCAACATGACTACTTCACCTACCTGTATCTGGCTCATTGAAGACTCTCCTGGATTTAAAAGGTCTGAGGTCCACGTCCTCCAAAGACCTGTGTCACCTGAGGCTCCACCACCTAAAAACAAGGGGAATGCTAATGAGTGCGTGGCACCTTCATTTGTTTTGGCTCTTTCTGTCCAAATGAACTCAGGCTGGTGCACCTCTCTGCAGATCAGTTTAACTGGTGTGACTTTTCTTGCACGTCTCTGCTCCTCATTTCTAAAAGGATGTAAACAGTTTATTACTCTTCAGTTATACTGTGTGCTTTCTCTGTCCTCTCCACACTTTGCCTGAATCATAAGCTTTTAAGCCTGCTGTTTTAAAAAAATATAGTAGAATAAATTCAAATATATGAATATATAGATATATATAAATATTTTGATTTGTTTGCTTCACTTATATTCCCAGCCATTGTATTAATTTCATTGTGGCCTATTTTTTGTGTGGTCAGTGTGTGTGCTTTTGTGCGCATACGTGTGTGCAGGCCCTAAAAGATGAAAGGATAAAAAGTCGACGTGCACACGCACTGCTCCAACACAGCAGCTTTCCAAAGACAGGGTCTGAGGGGAAAAGAAATTCCAACCTTCCTCTTCTTTTTCCCTTCTATCCTCGACACGTGCACACACACACACACACACAATCCTGCTCATGCTACGACTTGCCTTTTTCTATGGAGAATATCTTGTGTGTTATTTTTTTAAGCCTTTTTTTTTTTCTTTTCGCTTAATGAAAACATAATTTTGAAAAAGAAAAAAAAAAAAAGAATTCCCTCGTCTTTTCCGAGTACTTGTGCTATAAAAACAGCTGAAAGCAGAGAATGAAATGTATGTTTCAGAGCACATGGAGTGATTTGGTGTTTTCCTCACATTAATTTGTGGTCACGCTGTCACCGTGTGATTTTTCTGACTGCTAACTTCACGCTCTAACGAACTGAGATGACAAAAACAAATATGGGTGAGAATAAAACGTGTTTTTACTTCTTTTAACAAATGTATGCATACACAAAGGAGTTGAGTGGGTAACTTTTTATTGATTCAAAAGATACAAATTCTAACCAAAGTTGCAACAGCTTCTACTATTCAAAGGCACATCTGAAGTGTCAGGATGTGAAGACGTGAATGACTAACGGATTGTTCGATGATTAATCTTCTTGTGGTACTCTTCTCCCGGTGCCATATGACAAATAGGTACTTGAATGTGTAGTTCTTCTGCGATTGTTTCAAAGCGTTATTTACTTTGTTTGTGGTGGAGGGAGTGGGAAGGGGTGCTCTGCATGTTTTGGGACTGACGGGAGGTTTAAGAGATGCACTGGGCGGGTGGGGATAATGGTGGGCATGTTCAGTGTGGTGGTGCATAATGTTAAAGGGAAACCGGTGAAATGATGGCATTTGTTTTCAGACGCCTTTTATTTTTTTTAAATATATTTTCATCATTTGGTTTGAGGTTATTCCCAAATTATCGACGTTGCGGACTAGTTTGAGTCACAACTCGTTTTCTGACTTTAACGTTGTGCAAAGCTTTACCACAGTGAACAGGCCCCCCAGGTTAGATTTTTATTTAAGCTGTATCAGACACTGGGCTTGGAAGAGTGAAGGGAGAGAGGTGTTATTTTTCTGAATGTAACTCATTACTCACACTGATTCCACTATGGACTGGATATTAGCAGCACTTCTGTGTCACATTCTCCTTTCATAAGACATTTAAGGACAAACGCCGTCTTTGCTTCCTCTCTTTTAGATTCTTTTTTAAATATTCATTCGTCTGATTGTGGATTATAGTGTCTGGACTCGCATTTGAGCCGCCACTCACGGGCGGTTTAGTGATGCCTACATAATTAGGAGCTGACTTTTTGCTAGAAAGGTCTCATGGTTCTGGTCCAACTTTAGTTTAACTTAAAATGTCAGAAAAAGAAAGAATATGGAAATGACCACAAACGCTTCATTTGTTAGGTTTTTAGGATAAATGAGCTCTTGATTCGCCAGGTCCTGAATATGTGTATATTTAAATTGACATGTACAATTACAGTAGGAAATTCCACTTTTTTTATTATTCCAAGTGTTATAATTCACATTAGTTCTTTACCTCGAACAACTTAGGTGATCTTTTGAGATGATTAAAGATGGGCAGGTTTGAGTGTTTGCAACCTCTTCTTCCTGTACTAATTTCCCAGAATGCTGTTGTGAAATTTAAACTTTACAGTGAACATAAACACAAATAAAAAATGGATTTATGTTTAAATTTGCTTATCTTTGTTTTTCAGTGTCAAGGAGAATGAGCTTGGCTTTGTGTGAAAGTTTGTCTGGACTACTCGTGTTAACAGATTGCCATGTTTTTCTTTGGAATTCAAGCTTAATTTTCAACCAGCAAGTCGTTCAAGCACAGCCTTGTGCCCTTTAAGTTGAGATCTTTGTTTCTGAACGTCACTTTCTCACGTTAAGTAAAAAGTCAAACATTTACTCAGTGCCAGTAGTTATGAGTTAAAGTAGCAGATCTTTGAGTAGTGAAATCATTTACAGCTGGGATTTTCTGTGGCTCGTGTGTCATCGCTGTCCAACTATAAATTGTCCAGTTGTGTGCCAGTCGAACTATTGGATTAGATTATTTTATCAAACACGTTAATTTTTTTTTACATGTTCTACTTGTGTAGATGTATATACAAACCCTTTCCAAAAAATTAGAATATCATGGAAAAGTTGTTTAACTTCCATAATTCCATTCAAAAAGCTAATCTTTAATAGATAATAGATTCAGGGCCCACAATTTAAATCATTTCAAATTTGTTTATTTTTACATAATTTGGGCTTCCAGCTCATGAAACCCACGAAAAACAGGATTTCAAAAAAATTAGAATACTGTGGAGACATCAGCCACACTAATCAGTTTTAGCAGAAAAGAAAGAAATTAGGATCACAACAAATCAATCAAAATATGGTACTTTCAAAATGATATGTCAATCTTCAATACTTGGTTGGAATCCCTTTGTCTTAATCTCTGCCTCGATGTGACGTGGTATTGAGACAATCAGCCTGTGGCATTGACTGGGAGTTATGGAAGCCCAGATTTCCTTGATGCTTACTGTCAGCTCTTCTTTGTTGTTGGCTCTGGTGCCCCTCATTTTCCTCTTGAGAATACCTCATAGTTTCTCAGTGGGGTTTAGGTCCGGCGAGTTGGCTGGCCAGTCAAGCACTGTCATGGGCATCAAACCAGGTTTTGGTGCTTGTGGCGGCATGGGCAGGGGCCAGGTCCTGCTGGAAGATGAAATCTGCATCTCCATACAGATCCTCAGCAGAAGGAATCATGAAGTCCTCTAAAACATTCTGTTAGACTGTTGCAGTGACCTTGGATTTAAGAAAGCAGAGTTTACCAACACCTGCACTGGACATTGCACCCCACATCATGACTGACTGTGGATATTTCACACTGGACCTCAAGCAGTATGGGCTCTGTTCCTCACCCTTCTTCCTCCAAACCCTTGGACCTTGATTTTCGAATGAAAGACACTTTACTTTCATCGGAAAAGAGGACCGAGGAACCTGACAGTTGTAGCCCATCTACTGGAGGCGTCTGAATGTGGTGGTTTTTGACTCCCGCCTCATTCCACTCTTTCTGGATCTCTGCCAGATTCTGGAATCTTCTCTGACAATCCGTTGAAGCCCACGGTCATCTCTTTTGCTAGTGCATCTTCTCCTGCCACATTTTGCCCTTCCACTACTTTCCATTGATATGCTTGAACACAGCACTCTGTGAACAGCCAGCCTCCTTAGCTATGATCCTTTGTGGCTTACTCATCCTATGGAGGGGATCAATGATGGTCTTCTGGTCAGTTATGTCTGCAGTCTTCCCCATAATGAACCGAACTGAGACAATTGAACCAAACTGAAGCAATTTAATGACACCTGGGGAAACTTGTGCAGGTGCTTTTGAGTTTATAGATGATTAGTATCACACTCAGTTTAAAACATTCATGCCCTGCAAAATTTGGGCTGATTTCTCCACAGTATTCTAATTTTTTGAATTCATGTTTTCGTGGATTTCATAAGCTGGGAGCCCAAATTATAAACAAATAAATACTTGAAATTGTTTAAATTGTGGGCCCTGAATCTATCATCTATTACAGATGAACTTTTTGAATAGAATTATGGAAGTTAAATAACTTTTCCATGATATTCTAATTTTTTTTGGAAAGGGTCTGTTGGAAAAATCCTAGGATCCAGGTTGTGGAGGTAGTGTTCCTTCAGGCGATGTAAATCTTGAATAAATTTGGATTAAAATATGCACAAAATACCAGGTCAAGCTTTAAAATAAATTATTTTAGACCAAATCTGACCTACTTGTGACATAAGATGATTAATGTTAGGTCTACAGTCTTGCTTTGAAAGAGATAAGAGAAATAAATACAAGTTATTTTTTTCCTTGGAGTAAAACAAGTAAATTCTGTTACAGAAATTGTTTCATATTTTTGTATTCCTTTCAACACTTGCTATCAGTCACAGTAGCTGGAAAATACTGACAAAACATTTTATATTGATTCAACTATACTCAATTATTCTTTGGTTTCTTAATTTAATATAGTCACAAATTAGTTGGAAGATTTTCATTTAGTACATTCAGCAGTTGATACCTGCAAACAGTTGGTAAAGTCTGAAAACAATTGAAGGTTTTTAGCATATAAACCTGATATAGTTGCAAAATTAAAATGTTTTTAACTTTATTATAGCATCCTTATTACAGCAGGTCAGAAGAATAATGGAGCAGCGATGAGTGTAACTGTTGAAACATTTCTAAACAGGTGATGAAGAATATCAGATTACTTACAAGTCAAAAACAAACTTTTTATCCCATGAAAGCAGAAACTTGAGACAACTGATAGTCTAAATAATAATAACCCCAAAATCTTAACAGCACAGTTTGCTACAATGACAAGCTCAAAGCTCTTGTATATTTTATGCAAACAATGACAAAAAGGTTAAAAAAAAATGGTGTTAATCCTATCTAATTTAAAAATCTAATATAGATGAGAACTGTTACAGCACAATTAATAATTGTACTCATAAAAAGGTTGAAAATGACACCACAGCTGTATATAAAAAAAAAAATCTAAATAAGTCTGGACAGGGTGGGCTAAGCCCCCAGTGCTTTAAAATCCTAACAGCGCCTCTGTTTGAAATGACATTTCTCCACATTACGTAAGTTTCTAAGTAATAAAGGGGCAATAAATCCCAGCCAACCCTGCAACAAGATAAGAAACGGGCTAATCTCATCGGGTTTCACATTCCTCAGGTGGCTCTGGTGTGAGGAGTCCGCTCCATTTCTACTCCTTCACAGCACGTATCTGATTATTCCCTCCGTGAATCCGTTTGTTCTCAGCTTTTATGAGCAACAGAACTAAACCAACGCATCTAAATGAGTTTAAACAAATTCATCGGTGGCGTGGAGCTGGCGGAGTGCATCAAAAACCCGCAGTACCGGGACGCAGACGGCGGTCCAGCAGCGGCGGACCCCGGGGAGAGGCGGGACTCCACGGCGGTGAAGCTGGACGCGGAGCCGGCCTCCGAGGAGTACACGCAGGTTAAACCGTACGCCGGGATGCCCAAGGAGGTGCTGCTGCTGTACTCCTCCCGAGCTCGGTACCGAGTGCCCAGAGAGGTTCTGTTCTGGCTGACGGTGTGCTGCACCCTGGCGCTGCTGGCGGTCACCGCCACCATCATCGCGCTGTCGCCGCCGTGCCTGAGCTGGTGGCAGGTGTCCCCGGTGTACCAGGTCTACCCCCGCTCCTTCAAGGACTCCGACGGGGATGGAGTGGGAGACCTCCGAGGTAGGACTGCTGGAAGCTCTGATGACTGATGTTTGCGAACTTCTGAGGAACATTTTCTCCAGGCTGTCAAAGTGTTTGTTTTTGTTTGTTTTCCTCTCCTTTCAATTCAGCTTATTGGTTTATTTAACCCACTTTAATCTAGGACTCCTGGCATAACTCAAGGGATGAACTAGCGGTGTCTTCACAAAACCGACATTACAAAATGAACTTTAGTTACTTCAGCTGTCTGTCACAATTACACGTTCACATTTCTTTAGTTGAATCGTAAATGCCAAAAAATAACACTGTTTAAACACTAAATAATTAAATAGTTGATCAGTGGTTTCCAAAGTTAGGTGCTGGGACCCCGTGGGTCATCAAGCACCAACAAAGGTGCTAAAATGATCTACACAGAAATTTAATACACTTTAAAATGACCAACAACATGTTTTTTTTTCTCCTTTGGAACTATTACAGTCAATATCTCTGGATAGATGTAATCTCGTTAATATGGTATCATTATGCTCTGAAAAGTCAAATCAAAACACGTTGGATGGCCACTTTTTATGTATTTTATGTTAAAAAGTATAGGACCCAACG